GAGAAGACAAGAGAAGACAAGAGAAGACAAGAGAAGACAAGAGAAGACAAGACAAGAGAAGAGAAGAGAAGAGAAGAGAAGAGAAGAGAAGAGAGCTATGACGAAAGCATCCAGGGACACCCAAGCAAGAAGGTAGGGGAAGCAAGGAGAAGAAAAAGAGAGAAAGAGAGAGAGAGTGAGAGAAAGAGGGAAAAGAGAAAGAGGAGGAAAGAAACAGGTGTTCCCAGCTACGAGCAAGCGTCCAGGGACACACCAAGGAGAGGGGTGTACCTGAGTGTTACATTCAGGAGTACCCCAAAAAGCAAAGAGAGAAGAGAGGGAGGGTAGGGGGAGGAAGGGGGTTAAGGTCATGACAGGCTCCAGTGAGCCTTGAACAAACTTCGGTCGCTGCGGCCACGTACGCCGTGCCAAAATTGCTGGCTGCTCTGACCGCTCCGGTCACCGAACGGCATGCCCGGGTTCGGCCAGCTTAGAATTCAATAATCCGTCAGGTCTTGGCAAATAACTTTGGCTTAAGCCTCCTGCTGTCCGCTTCGGACACCTACGTTCCCGGGCAAGGGGAACAACGACAAACCCCCGATCGACGGGTCCGCAGGGGGGGCTCACCCTGGGCTGGCGTGAAGCCAGACACACTTATGGAAATGCATCCTGATTGGATGCGGTTTGCCACACAGATCAAAAGAAAACCAAAGAAGCCTGGAGGTCCTCAGACCGAAGCGCAAGCCGATCGCGAGGCGACAAATCACGATGTAGCGTGCAGGTCTGCAGTACACAAGAAATCTAATTGAGGCAGGTTTAGGGGAATATCATGCAAACACCATGGAAACAAACCACAGCGGTGGAAGAGTAGGGTGTTGTCACAAAAGCAGGTACGTTTACACCCAGGTAAGGGGTGTCTTCGTTGGCCGGAGACCCCCCACCTGGCTCCGGCACCCTGCTGAAAGAAAAACGAATCCCTGTGACTCCAAGCGTTACACACACACACACGACACGCGTTTGTAAACGGAAATGCTGATGATGATGATGATGATGATCCCAACATTATCTATCCAGAGACCCAGCGACCATGGCTTTCGTCAATATACCCTTCTCACACATACCTTCCGATTGTCCCAAAGGTCTCAGCTGGTTGGGGCATGGTTGAAGACAATGTGCTTCAGATCCCAAGGCTCAAGCTGCAATGGATACGAAATGTTCTCCAGCATGGCATCCACGTAGTCTCCTACCCGCTGTTCTGTTGTCCTTTGTCTGAAGCTTCTGTGATTGGTCCTAAAAAGGAGGAAAGTTCAAAAGGAAAGCAATGGTTAAGCTTAAGCTGCTGCAAGTTTGGCTGCTGCTGCCACTGCAGCTGCTGCTGCTAGTGCTGAGTTTAGTCCATGTCGCATGTCTGTTTCTTCGGCGGCTGGAGCGAAGGGGCATAGCCTTGAGCCAGACAGAACGTGGCAAACATTGTAGCACATGCGCTCGTCGTAGATGCACTGTCTTTTACAACGAAAATCGCAAGAGCCTGAAGACTTGTAATGTTCTGAACAAGCAGGCAAGGTAGCCAATGAGGGCGGTTGCATGATGGTAGAAGAATCCCAGAAAGCGCAAAAACCTTATTAATAATCAAATGAATCCCAATCATTAGAGCCATGTCAAAAACAGGTTACGAAGAGTCACACAAACAGCCCAAGCCAGCTGAAACAAGTAGGTCTGCAGTGGAAAGTTCAAAGCACTCCTCTTCTCGTCTTAGGCACTCAATGTCTGGAATCATACACAAATGACTTGCAGAAAGAGCATGTTCTTCTTTTGCAATACAGAAAGGAGCAAAAACGAGACACGGTTTGAATGGGAACTTCTGTGGGCACTCGTCATCCAGCATCGGTTTGGAGATGCCACGGATCTGGAATGGACAAGCCAATGGTTGTCGAACGGAGCTTGAACAAAGTTTTGCTATTTTGCAAGAGACAGGCAATGGCCTCCAACCTACAAGCGATGACCTCAAACCTAAGCCCGGTGGCCTCAAACCTGAAACCGATAGCCTCCAACCTACTAGCAATGGGCCTCAACCTAAGACCGATGGCCTCCAACCTACTAGCGATGGCCTCAAACCTAAGACCGATGGCCTCCAACCTACTAGCGATGGCCTCCAACCTACGAGCGATGGAGGCCAAATAGCGATGGCCTCCAACCTAAAACCGACCGCCTCCAACCTACTAGCACTGGCCTCCAACCTAAGAGCGATGGCCTCCAAGCTAGATGGCCTCCAACCCAAGAGCGATGGCCTCCAACCGAATAGCGATGGCCTCCAACCTAAGAGCGATGGCCTCCAACCTATACTAGCAATGAAATGGCCTCCCAAACCTAAGACCGATGGCCTCCGACCTCCGAGCAATTGCCCAAACATAAAACCTATGCCCTCCAACCTACTAGCGATGGCCTCCAACCTAAGACCGATGGCCTCAAGCCTACTAACGATGGCCTGTAAGACCGGTGACGTCCACCCTACTAGCGATGGCCTCAAACCAAAGACCGAAGGCCTCAAACCTAAGAGCGATCCTCCAACCTAAGAGCAATGGCATCAACCTGCTAGCGATGGCCTCAAACCTAAGCCCAGTGGCCTCCAACCTACTAATTGCCTCACATCTAAGACCGGTGGCCACAACCTAATTACAACCTACTAGCGATGGCCTCCAACCTAAGAGCGATGGCCTCCAACCTACTAGCGATGGC